AAGCTCCTCAAAACAACCTAACAAGCTAGGTCCTGTCGTAGTGGGAGTCCCTTGGGTGGTGCAAAATGTTAACGTGCTCAACTGCTCACACTGAAAGGTTGGAGGTTTGTATTTACCCAGAAGAGCCTCAGAAGAAAAGCCTGGCAGTCTCGTTCTGAAAACTTTAGGCATTGAAACCCCTAGGAAGCACCGCTCTACCCTGACACCTGAGATCACCAGGTGTCAGTCAACTCAGTGGCAATTGGTGCCACTGCTGTCATGGAATCATCATGTGACTTACCTATGGGCTCCCAGCTAGCAAGTGAGAGTCAGGACTCAAGTGTAAACAGCTTGGCTCTGGCCCCCACGGTCTCATAACCAGCCCACTCTCCTGCTTCCTGGGCCAGGTGGCCAACTCCATATCACACATAATGTCCTTACAGTCCCCTGGAGGCATATGTGGCTCACCTCAGTGATGAGCCAGAGTTCTTTATGGTTTGCAGAGCACTTTCTCCCCCAGTGCTCCTTGGACGTCACCATCTTTCTTTTTTTAAGCGAGTATGTGGTTTGAAAGTCAAAACAACAGAAACATGTTAAGTGAAAGAAGTCATTCACAAAAGACCACATGTTGTCTGACTCCATTTATGTGAAATGTCCCACAAAGACAAATCCAGAGAGACAGAAAGTAGATTAGTGGTTGCCTAGGGCTTGGTGTGTTGGGGAAAAATAGGGTGTGTGTACTCCTGGGGATGGGTGTTTTGGGGTGATGAAAATGTTCTAAAATAAATGTGTGGTGATGGTTGCACAATCTTGTGAATATAAGGGGAAAAAAATCATTGAACACTTAAAAGGACTGAACCTATCTCAGTAAAGAGGTTTAGAAAAAGTCCTTCCCTGCCCCCAGTCCTGCATCCACCTGCCCTCCCCAGCTACTTGTTACTTTTCATGTATCTGTTGTCTGTTTCTTTACTTAGATACAAACAAACACAGGTACTTAACATTTCCCCATCTTGGTTTAACAGAGTAGAAGACACCCTGTTCTGCACTTTGCTTTTTCACTTCCTGTATTTGGGAGATCTTTCCTCTTTGGTATAGAGAGTGCTTCCTCATTCTTTTTCCACTGTATTCTGCTTTATAGCTGAGCCATTCTTTATTTAACCAGTCTTTGAATGATAGACATTTGGATAGGTTCCAGACCTTTGCTCTTGCAAATGGTGTGACAGGGTAGCCATGGTGTTTTACTCTGCCCGGGGCACAAATGGAAGATCTTCTCCAAAAGAAGAGCCAAATGGCCTCTCAGTAGTGATGACTCCATTTTGCACTTCCATCATCTGGGAAGGCTGCCTACTGCCCCACAGCTATGCCAACAAACGTGTGGCTTCATATTTCAGAAGTTTTGCCAATCAGATCCATGAAAAGTGATCTTCAAGTACAATCGTAATCTCCTTTTCTCTTACGAGGAGTTTGAACATCTTCTCGTATAAGAAATGCATGGAGTCGCCTTAGGATTTCTTTAAAAGCAATTTATATTAATGAATCCTTTCCCTCTGACGGGTCTCTTCAAGTCCTTTGCCTCATCATCCTGTAAGTCTTTGGTCTTTTTCCTGCCAATTTGTAGGAGCTCATTGTATATTAGCCTTTGCAAGTATGTTTTTCTGAAGACTTTGCTTCTGAAGTTACTACCATGCAAAAGGAGGTTGAGACGGGGCGGTATTTGTCTGGATTTCAAGTCAGGGATAAAACAGACCGGGAGGTTATAAGTGAGTTCTCCCTTCCTCTAACATTTCATTGTTTCTTTGTGTGTTGTTGGGGTTTTTAACTGTGGCTTGTATACCAAAGAATAGATGAAGGAGATTGTAATCTTTGCAATGAAATGATGAGTGTAAAACCGATGTTCTCCCATGTAAACTATCACTCAATTCACAGTAAAAACTAAAAAAAAAAAAATAGATGAAAGATATACACACGGTTTAAGACATCCTAGTCTCTCTCCTCCTGGGGTTCAGTTGAAGGAGGAGAACATGCCCATCACCCTGAGTGCCCCTTCCCACCCCCCCACCGCCTACCTTCCTCTCATAGAGTTCATTACTGATTTTTTTTAACTTAGCCACCCAAAAAAAACCCCATTGTCTAGTCGATTCTGACTCATAGCAACCGTGTAACACAGAGTCAACAGACCCCTAGGTTTCCAAGGCTGTAATCTTGACGGAAGCAGACAGTCTCTTGTGGAGCAGCTGGTGGGTTAGAATCCCTGTCCTTTTGATTAGCAGCCCAGTGCTTCACCACTGTGCCACCAGAGCGCCTCATTAAAGATGTTGCTCCTGGTTACATCAGGGCCAGCAATGTTCTGTAATACATAAATATGTTCACTGTGATTTGTAACCTGCTCACCGGCACCTAATAAATCTCTGTATGGTGCAAATTGTTCAAGTGTTCAGCTAGTAACTGAAAGGTCGGAGGTTCAGGTACTCCCAGAGACAATTGAGAAGAAAACCCTGGTGATCTATTTCCCCAAACTCAGCTCCTGACAACCTTATGCAGCCAAGTTCTACTCTGACACGCACGGGGTCATCATGAGTCAGAAATAATTCCACAGCCACTGTTTTTCAGAGGTTGTTTATGTTCCAGTTTTTGAAACATAGACAAATAGAGCGGAGCTTGCATTCTTCTGTCACTAGGCTGTTTCACTCTGTGTTAAGATGCTGGGAACTGCCCGTGTTGCAGCTTGAAGCTGTCCCGGCATCCAGCCTGTGTCTCCACTCGGGAACATTCTCCTTGGCATGATTTGTTACTGTTTGTTTGGTCACTTGGCCGTTTTGGGGCCTTTGGGCTGTTTGCTGCTGTCGGACCTGGTACACACGCATTTCTAAGGGGCTGTCTTGGGGGTGGAGTTACCCCTTTGGCTAGCACGTTGTTCAGTGTTGTCTGATAAACGCCAAACTGGTTTCCAAAGTGGTTGTACCAACCAAGACCTTAGTTCTCCAGGTGGGTGGCTCTAACAAGCAGATGTATTCTCTCACAGTTGATGAGACTACAGTCTGAATTCAGGGGACCAGCTCTAGGGGAAAGCCTTCTCACACTCTGCTGGTTTAGTGGGAAGGTCTTTGTCTCCTTTCAGCACATCTGGACCTACAGCCCCTTGGAATCTCTGTGTTTCTTGGTCTTCCCCTGGGTCCGGGAGTTTCTCAGTGCAGGACCACTCCTGGCTCTGCTTCCTTAGTGCTTCCCTCCTCTCACTCTGCTCTTACTACTGATTGGTTGGTCACATCCAATCACCTTGTGCCAAATTACTTCATTACCAAACCACTGAGAATCATGGCCCAGCCAGGTTCACACATACTGGGGGGGACATCATTCAATCCAAGATGTACTTTCACCTTTTAAAACTTTTTGAACACATAGCTCTTGGCTCACTTGGGACTTGAACGGTGTGAGATACGAGGTTTTTATCCACCATGGAAAGAACTTGTTTCAATGACATTTATCGATGAGTTCCATCTTTCCCCCAATTTAGAATGCTGGCTTTACTCAATACTTAGCTCTTACTATGATTGTGTCTGTCTCTGTACTTCTTTTCTATCTTTGAGTGTGTAAGGACTGAACCAAACCTACCTAGCTCTCTGCTGGTAAGTCGATTCCAACTCATCACAACCCTTTAGGGCTCAGTGGAACTACCCACAGGATTTCCAAGGTGGCAGATCTTTACAGAAGTAAGCTGTTGCTTCTTGGTTCTCCTGTGTGGGTGTAAACTGCCAGCCTTTTGGTTCGCAGCCCAGTGCTCAACCCACTGCACCATCAGGGCTCCTTAGAACTGCATTGCTTAATTAACAGCAGATACAGTTTCCCTGCCTCAGCCTAGCTCTCACCTAGCCCAGCTCATCTAGCTAGGGAAACTGAGGCAAGGAAGCAGCTGCGATTTGGATTTTTGGGTCCCTTTTGTGACTTCTTGAGCCATGGGGCAGCCCCAGGGTTTTGTGTGAGGGTATTTCCACAGGCAGAGCCCCTAGATACCAAGAGTGTGGTGGGAAAGGCCCTCTTCCCTAGACTGAGAGGCCAGCAGAGCTGGGGTTGATCCCTCTAATCCACCATTTATTTACTAGCTGTGTGACACTGGACTTGAGTCTCCGTTTTCTCATCTGTAAAATGGGAATGGCTCCTTGTGAATTGAATGAGACGTAGGAGGGGAGGTGTGGGGGCTGCCTTTCACAGGATCAGTATTGAGATGGGCTAGTTTGACTCCCACCTCATGGTGATTCCATGTGGGTCAGAGTCAACTGTGCTTCACCGAGTTCTCAGTGGCAGATTTTTCAGTAGCAGATCACCAGGCCTTTCTTCCAAGGTGCCTCTGGGTGGATCTGAGCCCCCAGCCTGTAGGTTAGCAGTTGTTGTGTTGTTAGGTGCCGTCCAGTCAGTTCCGACTCATAGCAACCCTCAGCACGGCAGAACAAACACTGCCCGGTGCTGTACCAGCCTCATGGTTGTTGCGTTTGAGCCTGTTGCTGCTACCACAGTGTCAGTCCATGTTGTTGGGGTCTTCCTCTTTATCAGAGGAGGCTGCTACTCATCTGCTCCACCCAGGGACTCTTGCTGTGGCCCTCATCATCTCCACTAGGCTCCTTGCACCAGCCTTGCCCCGCCCCTCTCTAACCCCCAACCTCCCCACTCAAGCCCTCCCTCCCACTCGAACATCTTCAGTGGCACCTGCTCCGCTGGATAGAGTTCTGTCCCTTACCTTGGGCTGCTGCGGGCTCACCCCACCTGTGCTCCTCTGACTGATCTGTGGTTTCTCATCTACTTCACTTTACTTAGCTGCTCTTCTCTGACACCCACCCCACCCAGCTTTGCTGTCCAGCCCTGCCTCCTTCCAGCCTTCCCCAAGAGGTTCTGAGGACCTCAAGGTGGATGCTGAGTTGACCCAGGCCTGGTACGCAACAGACCTCAGAAACGCTGAGTTGGGGAGCCTGGGGCTGCTCCAACCAGCCAAGGATAACCATGGTCCCTTGCTTCTCCCCCGTGGGCAGGTGCCAACATTGCGTCTGGTGAAGAAGTGGCCATCAAACTGGAGTGTGTGAAAACGAAGCATCCCCAACTACATATTGAGAGCAAGTTCTACAAGATGATGCAGGGCGGAGGTGAGGGCCAGGGGCCTGGCAGACTGTGTGGAGTGGAGGGGGTGGGAGGGTGGGACAGCCCCTGATGGAAGCCCCTGCCTGGCCCTCAGTGGGGATCCCGTCCATCAAGTGGTGTGGAGCTGAGGGGGACTACAACGTCATGGTCATGGAGCTGCTGGGACCCAGCCTCGAGGACCTATTCAACTTCTGCTCTCGCAAGTTCAGTCTCAAGACGGTGCTGCTGCTGGCCGACCAGATGGTGAGTGTCCCCGCCAGCTGCCCGCCCTGCCACCTCCCACCTCCCGAGACCCCTAGATGAAGAGGCGGTAACAGGACATCAGAGGGGCCTAGTTCTTGTTCCAGGCGGTAGGATTCCAGCAGACCTTCTGAGTTGGGTTCTGGGGGAGGGTCTAAGACTGAGGGACTTTCACACAGGCGTGGGTCTTGCCCCAGCATGGTGTCCCTCAGTGAGTTGCTGAGCTTCTCTGAGCCTCAGTCGCCTTGTTGATGGGTAAGTAGGACACTGCCCAATACCTGGACCAGAGCATGTACCCCAAATGAACCCTTTATAAACAAAAGGGAGGACAGTAATGTTGAAAAACAAAGATTGTAGGAGTCTGACCTGGAACTATGTGTGGGGCTGGCCCTGGTCATCAGAGTGTCAGCTGTGCTGTCTAGATGGGAGATGACGCCTGAGGCCCCACAAGGGGCAGCACCGTGCTATATAGGCAGGACACATGCTGATGCTCATTCGAGCTTTCAAAACCTCGATTAATGAAAAGAGAAGTGTGCACTGTCACCTGACTTTGGTGTCCTTTGGAAGCTAGGGGGCAAGTCCTATCCTTGGTGCTCTTGAAGCCCTGGGCTCTCTGTCCCTGTCACCTCTGCTGAAGAGTAGGTCAGTAGTGCTCTGCCCTCTGTCTCAGGCAGGCAGGTAGGACTCCCATAGGGACCCCGGTGTCTTCCTAGATAGATTTGTTTCTGGATCTGCTGTTAGCTTTCTGGCCTTTGCTCTCTGCCTGCCTCCTCTCTCCCCACCACCACACATAGGCACACACGTGCTCCTTCACAGGCTTGGTGAACTCCTCCTGGAAAGTCCATCTTGAATGTCACCTCCTCCAGGAAGCTTTCCCTGGCCTTCCCCTTCAAGTTCTCTTATTACATAGTTGTAGACAGATCTTTTTCCCCAGCCCCTAGTGGGGACCCAGAGCAAAAATCCTTCTGTTGCACACTTGCCGAATGACTTGGCATCCGTTCACCCACCCCAGATCAGCCGAATTGAGTATATTCACTCCAAGAACTTCATCCACCGGGACGTCAAACCCGACAACTTCCTCATGGGACTAGGCAAGAAGGGGAACCTGGTGTACATCATCGATTTCGGCCTGGCCAAGAAATATCGGGACGCCCGCACCCACCAGCACATCCCCTACCGGGAAAACAAGAACCTGACTGGCACAGCGCGCTACGCCTCCATCAACACGCACCTGGGCATTGGTCAGTGAATGGCAGCTGCCGGCCATGGCTGTCTACTGCTCCCAGACACTTTTCCAGGGAGCCTCACTCTGAGAGAGTCCCTTCCCCAGCTGTCCCCAAGCCTGAGCCTGTGTCTGGCCACCCTTCCATAGAGGGCCTAACTGCTGCCTCCTCATAGCAACCTCAGGAAGGGTTCAGACACATCCTCCCTTTCATGGAGGGAGGAGCACAGGCTCTGAGGGGTCACCCAGGTAGCTTAGCTGGTATCAGTGTGGGATCTGACCCCTGGCCTGGCTGATGCCAGGCTGCCCTGTCAAGGAGTCACCTGGGCGCATGAGCTGGACAATGCGGGCCCACACTGAATGGAAAGATCCTGATCCTCAGGCCCCTGCTCTGTGGGAGGGGAGAATGGCAGCACCCGCGAACCCGATGAGGACATGTCCCCTCAGTGACATCCTGCAGGTGGAGGAGCTGGCGCCCTCTGCCCTGGGACCTCACCCTGGCCCTGATTCTCTGTGCAGAGCAAAGCCGCCGTGATGACTTGGAGAGTCTGGGCTACGTCCTCATGTACTTCAACCTGGGCTCCCTGCCGTGGCAGGGCCTCAAGGCGGCCACCAAGCGCCAGAAGTACGAACGGATCAGTGAGAAGAAGATGTCCACGCCCATCGAGGTCCTGTGCAAAGGCTACCCCTGTGAGTAGCCCCAACCCAAGCCCCAGGGGGGTGGCATCAGCATTTTCTAAGGTGAGGTCACCCCGAGTCTTAGCTGCCACCGCTGCTGTCCCTAGCACATTAGCCACAGGCTGTTGTCGCTGCTCTGATTCAGCTAGCAGGCCTGGACCCTCCCCAGCCTGCTCTCCATCCCACACTCAGGCCTGATCTCCAAGGACTCTCTCCAGCATTCTCTCTTTCTCCTTTTTTGAGAAAGGAATGAATGTTTTTTGAACAGCCTTTGAGCCTAGCTGTTGGTCGGCAATGACCAGTTTCCCCTGAATGTTCGGCAAGAACAAGTGAAGAGCTGTGAACTAAGGTCCTTCAGAGCCAGCCTATTGGAAGAGGCTACTTGCTCATTCTTCACAGACCTTCGGTTGCTCTCATTCTATCTTCAGAGGCTCTGCTTATGGGTCGCTTAGGCTTTTATCACCGTGGGGAGGCACATAGATCGGTACTGCCTTCATCTTGCCCCGTATTAGACTGAACTTATTTGTAGGGACAGAGTAGGTGGACTAGGACAGCTGGCTGCTGGTGAGCCTGGAAGTGTGTAGCTTCACAGTGGCCTCTCTGTTCCCTGCCAGCCGAGTTCTCAACATACCTCAACTTCTGCCGCTCCCTACGGTTTGACGACAAGCCTGACTACTCCTACCTGCGCCAGCTCTTCCGCAATCTCTTCCACCGGCAAGGCTTCTCCTACGACTATGTCTTCGACTGGAACATGCTCAAATTCGTGAGTCACCTAAAGGCCAAGGCGGGCTTGGGGAACTGGACAGGGCTGACCTTAACTCAGAAGGTCAGAGTGACCCGATGGCGGGAGGGGCTCCCGAGTCACGGCAGCTACGAGCTGGACGGTGCACGTGGGGTCCCTGGGGCCCCCTGTTCCCCTGATTCCACCTTCATCAGTGATGACAGTGGGCACCACCGCAGGCAGTGGAGCCCAGGCAGGGTGCCACCTCACACCAGGATGAGACGCACCTGGCTTGCCTTCAAGTTCCTCCTAGGTGCCCCCGGCGGGGCCTGGGTGGCGCTGGCGAACCCCGCCGCTGCCCTGATGGTTGTCTATGCCCTTCTGCTCCTCCTGTTCTGCACATCCCAGGTGGTGACTCTCACTGGGGTCCCCCTAGCTGGCTTAGACTCATCCATGCTGCTTTCTTTCTTCCTGGTCATGGGACCCTGGGTCTTGCTAGGTGGCCAATCAGTCTCCCTCTTCTAAGAGGCCTGGGGTGTGGGGGTGGAGTAAAGAGCTCCTCAGCTGCTCCCGAGGCTCTGGAAGCCGTGATTCGCATGTCTTCTTTCAAATCTCTTCTGGAAAAGGGGGCATCCACGAGCCAGGCTCAGCCCCAGCCCTGTGACAGAGAAGTCATTGCGCCACCCTCCCCCCGCCCCTGTCCCTGCGCTGGGCCCACGAACCCACCCGCCTACTGGTAAGGACCCTCCAAGACCTGACTTGTCTAAGACTTGTCCACTGGGCTGGGCGAGCACAGGAGGCTGAGTGTCTGCTGTGCTGTCTCTTGTCCCTTCCAGGTGCCCGGCGCCCCTGGGCACCCAGGACCCTCCAGATAGGCCTGTGGAGGAGGTGGAGGAGTTGGAGGAGCTGCCCCCCCAAAACTACTGGCCCATGGTCTGGACACCAGGGCCCAGTTCAGATGTTGTCAAGTGTCAAATGCCAAGGAGGTGTCCTGTGGGATGGTGGTGGTGATCCCTGAGTGGGCGTGGCTGGCAGAGAAGGCGCCAGCTGAGGCTCCTTGGGATTGAAGCAGGAATCTGGAGGAGGGATGAAGGCCACTGTCCTGCAGGGGCCTGGTGGGGGCAGACAGGAGAAGGCTCCCCAGCTAGGCCCAGTGGGCAGCCTGTGTATGTCACCTGAACATTAAAGCCCCTGCTCCATCCTGGTGTGGCTCTCCTTTCATGGCGGTGCACTCAGCCCACTCGGCTGACGCTCAGGATTGCGGCTTGTTCTCCAGGACACTCGAGCCCAAAGCTCTCCTTTCTTTCTGTCTCAGATTGGGGTCATTGCACGGAAAACAGGGTTTTTGCAGGCTAAGGATCTTAAAGTGGGGGACATCTGGTGCCCTCCTGTTCAGGGCTGGGGATGGGAGGTGGGCACAGGGGACCTTTCACCCTGATCTCCTGGCTTGGGCCATGGCTGAGAGCTAGGGGACTACAGCTCCTCTTGCCACGAGACACTCATTCCTTCAGTAAAGCCATCTCAAGGTTGGTACTGCGGGTGGCTTGACTCTGCGGCTCAGTACAGCCCGAAGAACAGATTTTGCATCCTCTCTACCTGCGCTGTCCAACATGGTAGCCATTGGCTACTTGGGGCTCATTTGAAATGAGTTCGCATTTCGTAAAACTGGAAAGCAAGTTCCTCAGTTGTCTTCACCACATTTCAAGTCCTCAGGTTCCTCGAGGGGCTAGTAGCTCCCCTCACTAGGCTGACAGGAGCCTTCCCATCATCACAGAAAGTTCTCGGACACACGCCACTCTAGAAGACTCAGTGACAGAACCTCAGGTGGAACAGTGCACCGACAAGACCCAAGCCAGGAGCACCCTGCTTGTCCATCGCTGGGGCTCTGACCCCTGTCCCGAGGCCCCCTTTGGGACAGGCCCTCAAGTCAGAAGCTGGGTCCAGCCACCAACCACATTCTTCTCCACCATCCTCTTCTGGCTCGCGGACCACTGACACTGTGCATCTTTGACCCCGGCAGCAGCGTGCTGAGCTCAACCCCTGCAGCCTCCTGGTAGAAGCTTCTGCTGAACAAAGTGGGACCTTCCACACCCTTCACCCTACGGCCAGGTGCCTCCCATCTCTGTCTGCAGGAGGTCTTCAGCAGCACCTGCTGGTGGACAGGGCTCTGTGCTGACTCCCTCCCTCCTTAAAGTGGCCATTCCCTTGACATTGGGCATCAGAGGACCTGGGAGCCTGGAGCCAACCGACCAGGAGAAAATCAACACAGAAATCCAGCTTGTAGGATCTTGGGGTTCACCTTTTGTACTTTGTTGTTGGCAAATAAAGCCCAAGAAGGCTCCCTGGCTTGTGTTTCTTGAGACGTCGCTTGGGATGGGTGGGAGTGTGGAGAATGTTGGCTAAGGCCTACTGTGGCCTAAAGGGCAGGACTTCCAGCCTTCCCCTCAGCCAGGGTCGTGCACCTCTGAGCAAATCAGTGGGCCTCAGTTTCCCATACTATGAAATGGGGTGGCTCAGCCTTCTGCCCACAGGAGGTGTTTAGTAAATGGGTGGTCCATGGGTTTGCTGTGGTTCTGGGGGTAGTGCTGGCAGTCTCCAGCCTGCCTGGACAGGGCACTGGGAGAGAGGACTGGGAGGGGGGATTCTTTCCTGCACTGTTCCCCTAAGGCAGATCTCTTAACAGTGTCCCATGGGGGTGCTGTCCCCAAGCTGTGTGACCACAGGCAGGGGTCCCACTTCCTCACCAGAATTCAGGGATCGGTCTGGTCCCAGGTCTGCTGCAAGGCAAGAGCAACCCCTTCACTGGCCTTCTCGGCCCCCTGGGAGCAAACACAGGGTTACAGGAACCCCTGCCCTCTGACCTGTGAGCAGCCCTCCAACTCAGCCTGCAGCTCTCTTCTCCACAGATGCGGCCCCCCTCATGCCAGCCCCCCGCCCTTCCCTGTGGACGGCCCCAGGACCAACTAGGTAACGCGCCAGGTGCCGCTCCTGCGCACGCTCCTCTCTGGGCCTTTCTCATTTCCTCCTACGCTGGGGCGTCGTTGGCTGGAGGGCAGGTCTCCGGGGCTCAGAACGTTCCTGCTCTGGCCGTAGGTCCTCATCCTTCTTCACTGGGGCATCTAGCCCTGTTTCTGCTCCAGCTCCCCTGAATTCCTACCCAAGGCAGACAGTGGCCCTGTGGGCCCCAGGGCACAGAAAGGGTAGTCCTCCGACGGGAGAGCTTTTGGCTCAAGGCTTGGCCCTGCCTTCGATGAACTTGGTCACTTGGGACATGTACTCTCTCCTCTCTGGGCTTCCAGACACCTGCCCTGCTCAGTTTGAAAGCCTGAGATGTCAAGGGCTGTGTGCACAGGCCCTAACCCCTTGGCCACCTTGGAGCAGGTGCTCAACTCCGACAGCATCCTCCATGAGGCCAGGGCGCTGGGTCCCTGTGCACCTCAGACCCCTCCCTTCTCTGTGGAGGTTTGTGTGGCTTTGTCTTACTGGACTGCGTGATCATGGGTCATTTCCAGGCCTTGAGGGTCTTGTTTTCCTGATCTTTGGGGCTCAGGGAGCCAAGAGTGTCTGAGGTTCCTCTCCCTCGAGGTACACACATGCCCCTTACCCTGCTCTGCCCTAGGGGAGCTCTGGGTCACAAACACCCTGACTTCAATGTGTATCTCCTCTCAAATCCCATAGGGTGCAGCCCGGAACCCCGAGGACATGGACCGGGAACGGCGAGAACACGAGCGCGAGGAGAGGATGGGGCAGTTGCGAGGGTCTGCGACCCGGGCCTTGCCCCCTGGACCCCCCACGGGGGCCACTGCCAACCGGCTCCGCAGTGCTGCCGAGCCTGTGACGTCCACCCCAGCCTCCCGCATCCAGCAAGCTGGTAAGCAGGGCCCCAGGTGGTGGGCAGAGCCCCTGAGGAGGCCCACATTGAGGGTGATCTCCCCTCCTGTAGGCAATACTTCTCCCAGAGCCATCTCCCGAGTCGACAGAGAGAGGAAAGTGAGTATGAGGCTGCACAGAGGCGCGCCGGCCAACGTCTCGTCCTCCGACCTCACTGGGCGGCAAGAGGTGTCCCGGATTTCAGCTTCACAGGTGAGCAGGGGCTTGACCACAGATAATCCTCTGGGTTCCAGAAGTGGGGCGAGCTGGAATCAGCCCTCACTGCCAGGGCTAGCCAGGGTGGGTGCCAGGGGCTCAGAATAGGTGCTCAAAGTCCCTGCCATTATCAAGTCCCCATGGGTCTTGGTGAGCACTGAGAGCACAGATTGAGTCCCATGTTCCTGCTTCAGGGCCATGTGTAGACTAGGAAAGTCAGGAGGTGTGGGGCAGTGTCTTAGGGTGGGAGCTTATCCTTCGTTCCCTGCCCCCCACCCACCCACCCACACACCCGTGTGGAGAAGGAGCCTCAGGGGCCACAACTGGAAGGCTGACAGTCTTGGGACCTTCTCTCTAGGTCATGGTTTCCTTTCCTTTAAAGTGAGGACCCCCTGGGATCATGGAGATGCCAGAACCCTTCTGTGAGCTCAGGGGTTTGGTGGGATCCACAGTGAGGAGGGAGGGATTAGCCACTTCAACATTGTCAACAAACTCAGGGACTTAACTTAATGCTTATTTCCTCGGCACCACCTCCCCAAAGACCAGCGTGCCATTTGACCACCTGGGGAAGTGAAGAGGAGCCACCACAGACCAGTATTTGCGTAGGTGAGTGAGTGGCTGCGGCCCCGGCCTGAGGAGGAAGCCAGTGTGGTTGGGGTGCTAGCAGCCTAGGCAGTCCTCAAAACCAAGAGGCCTTGAGAGTTGAAAACCTTGTTGTTGTTTTTTGGTAAGTACCATGGAGTCGGTACCACTATGCTACCAGAGTTCCTTGGTGGTGGTGGTTATGTGCTGTACAGTCGGTTCCGACTCATAGCGACCCTGGACAGGGTTTCTGAGGCTGTAAATCTTTATGGGAGCGGAAAGCCTCGTCTTTCTCCCACAGAACCAATGGTAGTTTCAAACTGCTGACCTTGCGGTTCATAGCCCGATTCATAACCACTATGCTACCAGAGCTCCGTAGACCTTGCCAAATCGTGTGAGGCATGGGGGAGGGCTCATTTCTGTTGGAAACCTTCCTTCCCCGGGGCCAGTCCTCTCTCCGTTTGCAGTAGCATATTCTGGGAAACGGTGTTGCAAAGGGACTGGTCGTGGATCCATGCTTGGTCTAGGGCCCTGGCCCAGTCTTGCAACTCCCAGCGTCTGTGTGGTCAAGCAGGTTAATTCCTGCAAAGCACTCAGACTGGTGCCCTGTGCTGTCAGAGGAAGCCCTTGGTAGTCCTTGCAAACCCACGGGTGGCCTCTCTGGCCAGCTGAGCCAGGTGGGGCTGACGGGCTGCATGAGGATGGGGAGACAGCTGCCAGAGAAGGAAGACCCAAAATCATGTTGGCAGGTTATGGTTTCCGTTTCAGGGACTTGGCGTCATACCAGCACATCCTGAGTATACTTGTCTCTATAGAAGTGGGGCTTACTCAGTCCTCAGGCCCCAGCCCCTGCTCTGGCTGGACCATGGCTGGGTGGGACAGGTGTGGTAGTCACCCCTCCCTGAGAGGGCAGGAAGGACAGTGAGTCTCTGTCCTCGCATCTGCTGTGGGCTGGGCCCTGAGCCAGCTCTGGGGCCCCAGGGGGACAGTGAGGGGAGCTGAAATGGGGCTGGTGGGTGGGTGGCCAGAGACCAACTGGAACCTGATCTGTCTCCTCTCTGCCCCTTTCTAGTGTCTTCACTGTATTTTCTTTAAAAAAATTTTAAAAACCAACAAAAACAAAAATGGAAAGAAAAGAAGAGAAACCACACACATCCAACAACAAGAAAACAACCCAGCACAAAACCAACGGATTTTGTTTGATTATTTTTATTTTTGCCAATGGCAAGAAGATACGGGAGGTCCTCCCCACGGAGGATTCTTGTGCCCACGTTCTCCACTGCCCCAACCTTCAGGCTGCCAAACGGTCCCGTCTCGGGGCTGCATGTGCCAGACGCCAAGGCCCCACTCGGCCCACCCCCCCTTCCCCCCGGGCACCAGCTGGGCGAGGATGGCCCCACTGTTGGAGATGTAGCCCCCATGCCGTCGGGCTGGGGCCGGGTGACAGTGGGCAGCTGGCTTCGTCCCATTGGCTGTTATAGGTAACAGTGGCTGACTTTCTGCGTTGGGCCTTTGCCAATGTCTCCTGAGCATTTGGGGCCTGCCTTTGTCTCTCTACAAAAGCCTTGCCGAGCTGGTAGAGAGGTAGGGATGAGCTGAAAAACCTTGTGTGCGTCTGTTTGTGACCTGTGTCCTCAGGATAGCAGGTGCTCCAGCCCCACCTGCCAGCCTACTTTTGTGTTCTTCCCCTGACAGGCTGTTGGGGGTGGGCAGTGACCTCCAGGTCCCTCAAGTAGGGCACACAGGGTCTTTACCACTCTCACTTTTCAGACTGTCATCAGCCTGTGGCGGCCCCTCCCATCTGTTCCTGTTCTGTGGAGACCACTCCCAGGAAGCTTCTGGCTCTTGGGCTATAAATTCATCCCCAGGTCTTGACCTGGGTCCCCCCTCTCCTTGGCTCCCGCCTCTCTGAGGAGGAGCCTGTGGTCAGATGGGGTGTGGGATTTCGCCGTCCTTCCAAGTTCACACCCATTTTTGTTCTGATCTTTGTTTTCGCCATGTCTCTATTTCCTAATTTATTTACCTCTGTTTCCCTTTTTTTTTTTCAATTAAAGAGCAAAGCTTTTTATTACTTTGTAATTTAAAAACTGAAAAAAAAAAAATACTGAAGAACTTTGGGGGGAATTTTATACTTTTTTCCTGTGTAAATATTGGACTTTTTTGAGCTTTATTGTGGTTGTTAATTTGAAGTAATAAAGTAGAAAAGGAGAAAGTCATGTGGGCAGCCTTTGTCCGCCTCTTTGCTCAGGCCTCTCCAGGACTCTGTGGTCACTGAGGGACAAAAACACCTCATAAAAGGACTGCAGAAATTATGTCACCGTATCCCAAACCAAACACCTCAGTGCCATCGAGTCGATTCCAACTCATAGCAACCATGTCAGACTGCTCCTTGGGATTTCTGAGACTGTAAATCTTTATAGGAGCAAACAGCCTCATCTTTCTCCCACAGAGTGGTTGGTGAGTTTGAACCGCTGACCTTGTTTAGCAGGCCAACCAACACTTAACCAACTTAACACTTAACAGGGCGGTCTTTCAATATGCCCCTGGGCTGTTCTGAAACTTGAACTAAAGTGTCCCTGTGTGCCCCTTGGGGATCCCAGGAGGACTGCATAAGGCCTTGGGTCCTCCATGCACAGCAGTCGCCCGGTGAGATCGGCAGCCCAGAACTACACTTGAGAAGCAACATTCTAGATTCTTCACAGATGTCAGGAGCCAGTGTATGGGCCCTTAGCTCATGGAGACCCCAGGCCCAGTGGAAAGACCGCCCGGTTGCACACTAGACAGTGGGGATCCACAGGGTTTTCATTAGCTGATTTTCAGGAGATCACTAGGCCTTTCTTCTTAGTCTAACCTTCTGGAAAGTCCACTGTTCAGCATCCTAGCAGCACACAAGCCTCCACTGAGACAGGTGAGAGCTGCACATGAGTGACATTGGCTGGGAATTGAACCCCCGTCTCCCGTATGGAAGACGACATTTCTACCTTCGCCCATCTCACAAACTGCTTTACATAATAAATTCATTCACACAAAAGTGCTATCCATATTCCTCTCGGGTATTAACAGAAATATTCTGGCAACTAGTCCAAAGAGAATTGACTTGCCCAAGATCCCACAGCTCAACTGGTCTCAGAGCAGGTTTGAACCCAGTTCCTATCCCAGAGCTGTCCTGCCTGAGCCACAGGTGACCCTGGGTGTGTTCCTTCAGCCACACAGCCCTGGGCTTTACCTGCTTTTCACTTGGCTTGTAAGAGAATTTGCCGTAGTGTGCTGGCCTATTGATTTTTAACCCAAGCCCCAAAAGCCACCTGGGAGGGGATGGGGGATTCTTAGACATTGTGAATACAATTCTGGCTCTTGGTGACCCCCTACGTGCCAGAGTAGAACTGTGCTCCACGGGATTTTCAGTGACATTGGAAGTAGGTCACTGGTCCTTCCTCTCAAAGCTAAGCGCGTAACCGTTGTGCCACCTTGGACTCGTTTTGAGGTTAGATCCCTGTAACAGGCATTCCAGTGTTGGCATTTGAAGACCCAATGACCCCACAGCCTGAACGCCCAGAAACATGTCTTTCTTGTTGGTCTGGTAACGGGTCACTGTTGGCAAAGGTGGGGTCTGGAGCTGGCAGCCCTTCACCATGGAGCATGGGGGCTCAGCCAGTGTATGTGAATGCAAAGCCCAGGAAATGTGGGGGTGGACAGCCCACTCAGGGTGACACCTGCCTGGTGCGGGGGAAGAGAGGACACAGTGGCCACCCACAAAATGCAGTTTACTCTGATAGCGTAGTGGTTTCGAGTTGGGCTGCAGTTCAAAACTACCAGCTGTTCCACATAAGAAAGATGAGGCTTTTTGCTCCAGTAATGATTTGCAGCCTGGGAACTGACTCCATGGCACACCACCACCACCACCAGGACCATCACCACCACGGCACACGTTGAGTAGAGGAGTTGCCCAGTCCCTCAGGGCCAGACCTCTGACAACAAACACCAGATGGAAAGTTACAAACTGTGGACCCTGAGGGGGAAGGCTTTATTTGTCTCTTAAAGTGAACATCCTACAATATGTATTTCAAAATTACCCTTTTAATATTACTGCTAAATTATAAACAGTAAATAATATATATTTACTCTTGGCTCTTTCTGTCCATAGAATATAGACCCACAAAGGATATGCAGTGTCTAGAAGCAGTTTGAAATCATTGTTTTCTTACTGTCTATTTTATCAATGAGCTAATGCTTTTTCCTCATTTTGGTATGATTTTCTTTGGAGGGGTTGTTGTTGTTGTTGTCAGGTGCCATCGAGTCAGAACCAACCCATAGCGACCCCATGCACCCCAGAACGAAACAATGTCCAATCCTGGGCCAACCTCACTACCGCTGCCACACTTGAGTCCATCAATGATGCCACCTGGCTGATCCATCTCGTTGGGGGTCTTCCTCTTTTTCTCTGAACCTCCACCCTACCCAGCATGACATCCTTCTCCAGCGATTGTTTCCTCCAGACAATATGTCCAAAGTAGGAGAGACGAAGCTTAGCCATCCTGGCCTCCAAGGAGCACTCTGGCTGCACTTCTTCCAAAACAGATCTATTGGTTCTTTTGGCAGTCCATGGCACCTTCAGTATTCTCCTTCAACACCACAACTCAAATGCATCAATTCTACGATCCTCATTCACTGTCCAGCTTTCGCATCCATATGAGGCTATTGAAAACACAATGGCCTGGGTCAGGCGCACCCTAGTCTTCAAGCTGACATCACTGCTCTTCAACACTTTAAAAAGTTCCTGTGCAGCAGATTTGCCCAGTGCAATACGTCGTCTGATCTCTTGACTGCTGCTTCCGCGAATGTTGATAGTTGATCCAAGAAGAATGAAGTCCTTGACAACTTCAATCTTTTCTCCATTGATAAGAATGGTGTTTATTGGTCCAGTGGTGAGACATAAAACTGTTTGGTTTTATGTCTATACTGTCTCTTTGGAGGGGTGGAGTTATATAAACTTTGTTGTTAAGTGCCTGGGTCCAGCAAGTTCTGAATCATAGCAACCCTGTGCATAGTTCCCAAGGAGCAGCTGGTGGGCTTGAACTGCTAACCTTGTGGTTCAAGCTGACCTTGCAGTCCAGTGCTTTATCCTATAGCACCACACCAGGACTCCTTTTATTGTTGTTGTTAAGTACCGTGGTGTCAGTTCCGATTCATAGTGACCCTGCACAGGGTTTCCAAGGCTGCAAATCTTTATGGGAGCAGAAAGCCTCATCTTCCACAGGACAGCTGGTAGTTTCAAACTGCCAACCATGAAGTTAGCAGCCCGATTCATAACCACCTTAGGACTCCTTTACATGTTTCAAATCAAGCTACATAAAAAGCTATAATCAGACAAGTCTTTCTAGAACTGTCCCTACTGCCATTTCCCCTGGTTTCTGATTTATCCTTAAGTGGTAAACAGGTTAACACGCTTGACTCCTAATGAAAGTTGGAGGTTCCAAGTGCCTTGGAAGAGAGGCCTCATGATCCTACTTCTGAAACATCCGTTATTGAAAATCTATGCTACTCTGACCCATGCAGGGGTCGCTGTGAGAGTCAACTCGTTAGCAGCTGTTTCTTAATTAACTCCTTAATCCTCACAACTGGACCGTTAAGTAACATCATGATGAGACTATAATTGAAGTTGTCAAGGTTGCAGTATACTTGGATCCACAGTCAATGCTCATTGAAGCTGCAGTCAAGAAATCCAATGGCGATTTTTGAAGCAAAGATGGCGCTTGAAGGACTGAGGTCCTCTTGACCCAAGTCGTGGTCTCTTCAATCACCTAACATGGATGTTCTAGTAGCATAGTGCATTGTGTGGTGCTGTAGGATCAGCATTGGACTTGGAACTACAAGGTCAGCAGTTCAAACCCACCAATTGTTCCTCAGAAACACTATGCAGGTTCGCTTAACAACAACAATAGGGTAGTGGTTTACACATTGGGCTGCTAATCACATGGTCAGTAGTTCAAATCCACTGGTCTCTCCTCAGGAGAAAGATGAGGCTTTCTGCCCCTGTAAAGGTTTGCAGCTTGCACACAGCAGCAACAAGATGCATGCGAAAGTTGGAAAATGAATAATG